CAAAAGTGCAAATAGTAACCAAATCACATGTACCAAATATTTTGTCTTTAAAGTTACAATACAAAAACACAGACTTTTGAAAATTAAATAACATCTAAAACTTCTCTGTAGTCTGTTTTAGTATAAAATTCCAATATTGCTTTGAAAATTGCATAATAGAAGAATGGCATCAAATATAGAAAAGTGGAAGCTTAATCAGAATTTGATGTTACTTTAATGAATAGCCATCAAATATATTCTTGATAGTGCAATGTCCTAGTTTGCTTCTTTTGCTGTGATAAAACATGGGCCAAAATGAGCTTTGGGAGGAAAGGGTTTAATTGGTTTACAATTTCTGATCACAATTTGTTGAGATAAGCCAGGGCAGGAAGTCATGGGAGGAACCTGGAGACAGGAACTGAAGCACAGACCACAGAGAGATTTTGCTTACTGGCTTGCCCAGCTGATCATTGCTAGCCCCCCTCATCATTGCATAGCAGCCAAAGACCACGTATCCCAGGGTGGTACCATCCACAGTGGAATGGTCCCTCACACAATAATCAAAGAAATGCCTCACATACATGCCCATAGGCTAATCTGCTAGAGAAAAATTTCCAATTGACGTTCCTTATGCAAAGTGTGTGAAGTTGATAACTGAAGGAATCTAGAACAGGTTGGCCTTGATCTCATAGAGAGTTGCATGTCTCTGCCTCCATAGTGCTAGGATTAATGGTGTTAATCACAATACCCAGTTGTTTGTCCTTTATTTACATTTTGTTTTCCATAGGAAGGAAAAAGTGGAATGCAACTGAAGGAGTAAATGGGTCACTTGATTACCTTTAGAAATACAGAAAATACTGAAAACTTAATTGTGGGGAGCCGCCTGCCATCCCTGCAGACGCCATTACAAGATGGCGCTCACATCCGGTTCATGCTGAGCAATAAATAAGTCAGTACGCATGCCCGAAGTAATTTTCCACCTTCTAGTCTCTGCCTACCTCGTGGCGTGATATGGGCTGATGAGTTTGTGACCAATCAAGAGTTGCCACGTCCAAGACGGGCTTACTAACCTATATAAGGGCTGGGTTTCCGACATTCGGGGTCTTCGCCCTGTAAGCTTATGCTCTCCCTCTCAAGATGCATTAAAGCATTTCTGCAGAAGGATCCTGAGTGTGCCGCGTCGTTCTTGCTGGCGAGACGATAGCGCGGGACAACTGGTGCTGAGACCCGGGAATTCGACCAAACCATCGTCAGCACCATCGGAGACCCCTTGAGTTCAAGGAGGATTCAGAATTGCAGGTAAGGACGTTCAGAGAGGTATGTTTTTTCTGGACTTTGGCTTGAACCTGTTTCAGCCTTGGAAAGGTAGCTTTGAGGCATTGGTTATCATTCTGGGAACACTTATAGTTTTGTTGTATAAAACATGCCAGGCCGTTGTGGCGGAAAGTCGAAATGTTCTTGAGGAAGTCCAGGATAGCATGTCAGAAACTGAACGCAGTGAGAGGTTAGGTGCACGAAAAAAGAAACGGGCCCCAAATAAGGAAAATGGCCCTCCCGGAAGGTCTGTTGACAAGGGAGCGTATTTTAAAGAGCCTAGAGATTCTTTGCCTGTCGAGAGGCCGGAAAAAGGGACTAGAATATACCCTGTCCGAGAACTAAAGGCTCTGCAATTAAGTAGTTCAGGAAGACCCGGGAGCTCTGAGGACGAGAGCCTTGACCCGGAGGAGGAGGCGGAGCTAGATGAGGAAGTAGCGAAGTATGAGGAAGAAAGATATCATCCAGTCCTCCCTTTACCTGTCAACCTATGGGGACGGGATGTTATGCACGACCTCGGGCTTACTCTGTCCAATGAATATTCACCACAAGCAATCCAAATTATGAAGAAAATGGGGTATGAGAGAGGAAAAGGGCTGGGGTGTTGTGAACAGGGGTGTACAGAACCCATAGCACCCAACCCAAATCAAGGCAGACAAGGCCTGGGTTTTTCCTAGGTGCCACTGAGGCAGTACGGCCCATACCATGGAAAACGGAGGCTCAGGTGTGGGTTGCTCAGTGGCCTTTGACCTCCGAAAAATTGGCTGCAGTAACTGATCTGGTCACTGAGCAGCTGGCTTTGGGGCATATAGAGCCATCTACCTCCCCTTGGAATACCCCGATTTTTGTGATAAAAAAGAAATCTGGAAAATGGAGGTTATTACATGACCTAAGAGCTATTAATGAGCAAATGTATCCCCTTGGGGCAGTGCAGCGGGGACTTCCGGTCCTCTCTGCTCTGCCTAAGGATTGGAACTTAATCATTATAGATATAAAGGACTGCTTCTTTTCTATCCCCCTGCATGTCTCTGACAGGCAGCGCTTTGCTTTTACCATCCCTTCAATTAATCATATGGAGCCAGATAAGAGATTTCAATGGAGAGTGCTGCCTCAAGGGATGGCCAACAGTCCCACCATATGTCAACTGTATGTACAGGAGGCTCTAAAGCCTATTAGAGAAAAATTTCCTGCGATAACTATTATTCATTACATGGATGATGTGCTCATGTGTCATCAAGAGCGAGAGACCCTTGAAAAAGCTTACCCACAGCTGGTGAAAGCTTTGCAATACTGGGGACTTCAAGTCGCCACTGAAAAGGTCCAGTTTTCTGATACAGGCCAATTCCTGGGCACTGTTATTCTCCCTGATGTGATTCGTCCACAAAAGATAAAAATTTATAGAAAAGATTTGTGCACTTTAAATGATTTCCAAAAATTATTGGGAGATATTAATTGGCTTCGCCCATTTCTCAAAATTCCCACAGCGGATTTAAAACCTCTTTTTGACATTTTGGAGGGGGACACCCATATTACTTCCCCTCGATCCTTGACCCCTGCTGCGGAAACAGCACTCCTCCTAGTAGAGGAGGCAATAGAGAAAGCACAGTTACGTCGCATTAACAGCTCTCAACCTTTTTGTCTCTATGTTTTTAAAACAAGAAAGCTGCCCACTGCGGTTTTATGGCAGGAAGGACCCCTGTTATGGGTTCACCCGAACGCTTCCCCCCAAAAAATAATTGACTGGTACCCCACGGCTATAGCTCAACTTGCACTTAAAGGCTTAAAATTGGCTATAGAACACTTTGGCAAGCACCCTACATCTATCTTGGTCCCCTATAATTCCTCTCAGGTGCAAACATTAGCTGCCACCTCAAATGACTGGGCCATACTAGTTACCACCTTCTCGGGGAGAATTGATAATCACTATCCAAGGCATCCTTTGCTGCAGTTTGCAGCCCTCCATCCTGTAGTCTTTCCCCGAGTTACATCTCCCATTCCACTGAAAGAGGGATTGATGATATATACAGATGGCTCCAAGAATGGGAAGGGGGCATATGTCATGGGTTCCAAGGTGTTCTCACGACAATATGCAGAAACCTCTCCTCAAATAGTAGAATGTCTGGTTGTGTTGGAGGTTCTTCAAAAGTTTTCAGGTCCTCTTAATATTATTTCTGACTCATCCTATGTAGTTAATGCAGTTGCTGTGCTAGAGACAGCTGGTGTTATAAAACCAACCAGCAGGGTGGCTGCCCTTTTTCAGAAAATACAAGATTGTTTATTTAAGAGGAGTACACCCTTTTATATTACACATATTAGGACCCATTCGGGCCTCCCTGGACCAATGGCCCTTGGCAATGATTTAGC